CAGTTTCTCCACTGCCAACGTGTGAAAATGTGACTCTAACGAGTTACTAGACGTTGTGCCACAACAAACATGACACGTTGGCTGCCCAAGACAAAAAGTTTGTGCACCCTGCTCTAAAACAGTGAGACACTTATAAACCAAAAATAATGCAGCACAGTGTCAGATTCATAAATCAGTGCAGTAATAAAGCACAAACGCAGCAGAAAATAACCTGAACCAGTAACATCTTTAAGGTTTCTCCCTCATTTTATACAGAAAATCTGCATTAAATCTACACAGTTAGGGGAATACACACTCACACACACACCAGCACCAGTCCTCCACCCCTCCCCCTCACACACACCACAGAGATGGGAGCATTGCGGCAGAACCGTGTTCACACACACCACTGCCTCTGAACGGAAAAAAAAACGAGGTGGTAAAACAAGAACGGCTAATCAATTGACCTCAATTACGAGTTGCAGTCGCTCGGTGGATGAAAGGAGGGAGGAGAGAACGAGGGAGTTCTTTTTTTAAACTGTAATGAAAAGCTGTACCGGTGAAGTTCTGTCAGTGAGAACAGAACAGGGCTGGACTATGGTCAGCAGGACACTCGCACCAGGCTGCACTGCCTACAGCAGGGGTTGGCAACATGCGGCCCTTTTACTGCCCTGTTGCGGCTTCACAGCAGAATCAGATTTGTAGGTAAAAATAAAATAATCCTGCTTTACAGTAAAATAAAGCTCTGCTGATCGTTCAACACAGTTTAACAATAAATGGTCTTAAACACTGGAGTTAATGTAGAACTGCTGATTCACCCTTTAACCCTGAAGGTTGGCGCGCAGACTGCTGGTCACCATAGCAATGCAGATGTCTCGTCTGGCTAGCAGCTAACGAAAAGGCAAAGAGACAGATTTAAGACAAATATCAATAATTTGGAGACGAACAGACTTATTTGCATTTATAATCACTCCAGCTGGTTTCCTGATATGTTTAATCTGCAATGAGAAACTATCAAATACTAAAAAGTCATGAGGCTGAAGTCAGTTTCTCATTTGCCAGCTTCTCGTTTAAATTCTCCTGTTCCACCTTAAATGGTGCAACAGTTACACTCTGGCTCTTCAGGCAGCATTTAAGGTATAATGGGAGAATTCAAACAAGAAGCTGTCAAATGAGAAGCGACTTCAGCCTCGTAAAAAGTCGAACGGTAAGAGACATTTTACAAGAAACTGTTCTACTTTTGTGGAAAAGTTTCCTGCTGGAGATGTGAGAAAAGCGGCTATAGCAGAGCTAAAGCTTAAAGCAGAGCAAAGTAAGTCTGCGTTTTTGTTTTTATTAGATTTTTAGCCTGTACTAGTATATTAGGACACACTGAGACATATTTACAGCCAAGATGGTAAAATGGGCATAAAATATTGTGGCTTCCAAGGTGGTTTGATTATTGTTGAGAGGACAAAATGGCTCTTCTTAACATTTGAGTTGCCGACCTCTGGCCTAGAACATACTCAGTCATGTAGTGTATGAGCTCACAACTGGACTGTTAAAGTGATAATTTGGCAAAAACATGAAGCTGTTTCTTGTAATAGACTTGCTAATGTGGTTTTTGACCAAAGGCAGACAGATATAAAAATGAGGCTACTATGCAAATTAATCTTGTGGCCAAATTAAGATTATGTAGTCAGAATTATAGAAACATGTTTATTGTAACATGCTAAAGCATGCGTAACGCCCAGTCAGGTGTGGAAATATTTATTAAAAACTCCCAATTAAAAAGGACACACATAATCTCTCATGCACATTCAGCAGGGGGAGCTATTAGCATGGCGGGCAGTGTTTAAAATGTCAGTTAAAAAGAAAAACAGTCATGAACCCACACCAGTATGAGACGAATGCACATGTTTGCAGGCACAACTTTTAAAGAGGTCAAATTTCATTTAAGATTTTCATGCAGACACTGAACACTTAAAAAGCAGGACAAGTGAAAAGTATGGTTTTTCACCATGGAGATATTTATGAATGTCTGAAAATGAATCTGTTCTAGTGAGAAAAGGGAAAAACTCTCCAAGGCAGTTGGCCACGCTGGCCACAGATTGCACATTTTTAGTGGCCAAAATGTGAAATGCTGGGGCAGAGGCACGAGGCAAGAGGCAAGAGGCAGCGTAACTGCTTCAGACACTGTTTGACAAACTGTTCTCTATAAACATGGACAAAAGTATGTTGCATAGCTAAAAACTGTAGCAACAGAAGAGAAGAGAAGAAAAAAGAGAAGAAAAAAGAAGTCAAGAGAATAAAAAGAAGAGAAGAAACAAAGATAGAAGACAAGAGAGGAGCTGAAGAGAAGAGAAGAGAAGAGAAGAGAAGAGAAGAGAAGAGAAGAGAGAGAAGAGAAGAGAAGAGAAGAGAAGCAGGAAAGAGAAAAAAGAGGAGGGGAGAAGAAAGAGAAGAGAAGAAAAAAGAGAAGAGAAAAAAAGAAGTGAAGAGAAAACGAGAACAAGGAGAAAAAAGAAGAAAGAAAAAGAAGAAAAGAGAGGATCTGAAGAGAAGAGAAGCTAGAAAGAGAAAGAAGGAGAGGAGAAGAAAGAAAAAAGAAGAGAAGAGATGAAAAAAGAATATAAAACAGAAGGAATAAAAAAGTAAAGAGAAGAGAGGAACGGAGAGATGCAGAGAGGGTTCTGCTCGTCCTTCTGCATCCCTCCGCCACGGCCTTATCTCTCCTTTTTTCACTTCTTGTTTCCTGGGCTGTGCTGGTGATGAATTACAGGATGCTATCTCTCCACCTCTCTCTCTCTCTGTCTTCGTCTACCACTCTCCATCTCTCTTTTCTCCCTCCTCCTTTCTTTTTTGTCCTCCCCTTTTCCTTTTCTTCTTCTTTCTTCTGCAGGCTACTTCCTACCTTGGTCTTGCTCTTGCTCCCTCTTTTTATCCAATTTTAACACTTCCTCTCTCTCTCTCTCTCTCTCTCTCTCTCTCTCTCTCTCTCCTTCTCTTTCTCCTGCCTCTCTGCTCGTTTGCTCTTATTCAGTATTGTGTGCCTTCATCCTTTAAATATCCTTAAACCAGCCTACATTAATCATTTCACTCTTCTCTCCCCCTCCCTCGCTCCTCTCCATGCTCCCTCGCTTCCTCTGCTCCCCTCAGACGACCTCTTCTATTCTCTTTTCTTGCAGAATCCTTCCTGACGCTGCTGTATCCCTCCTTCTTTACGCTTATCCTCTTTTCAGGGGGCTGTAATTCCATTAATTCACACCCAATAACTCTTTAATCCGATCAGGCTGGACAGAATTCTGCAGTCCTGAGTAGAAGCGCTCGCTGAGTGACGTCTCATTAGCTGAGGTGAGGTGCTGAATCTGGGGATATGGCTGTAATATTTGATGTTACTGTCAAAAATGATAAAACAAACCACAAAGGTATAGAAAAAGCAGTGAGGCATTAAAGCGACAGTTCAAAATCAGATTTACTCAGTATAGCTGGTCAGTCACAGCACGTTTGCTTCTGTAGTTTTGCACTGGATCTGAGGCTAATACAGTTAAGATCTAATGTAATGTAATACACCACCAATTAGCAAGTAATGCAGTGATTTCACACACAGATAACTGAATTCCACACAACTAACAAACAGGTGGCATCTGTAGGAGTAGACTATGTTGACAATGTATTCAAAGAGCAAAAGACAAGAAGAGAAGAGAAGAGAAGAGAAGAGAAGAGAAGAGGAAAGGAGAAGACTAGAGTAAAAGAACAGAGAAAAGAAGAGAAAGATAAGAGAAAAGAGAAGAGGAAAAGAACTGAGAAGAGGAAAGAAAAGAAGAGAAGAAAAGACAAAAAGAACAGAGAAGAGAAGAGGAAAAGAACAGAGAAGAGAAGAGAAGAGAAGAGAAGAGGAAAAGAACAGAGAAGAGAAGAGAAGAGGAAAAGAACAGAGAAGAGAAGAGGAAAAGAACAGGGAAGAGAAGGGAAGAGAAGAGAAGACAAAAAGAACAGAGAAGAGAAAAGAAGAGAAGAAAAGAGAAGAGAACAGAAGAGAAGAGAAAAGAAGGGAAATGAAGAGAAGAGAAGAGGAAAAGAACAGGGAAGAGAAGGGAAGAGAAGAGGAAAAGAACAGGGAAGAGAAGAGGAAAAGAACAGGGAAGAGAAGGGAAGAGAAGAGGAAAAGAACAGAGAAGAGAAGAGAAGAGAAGAGAAGAGAACAGAAGAGAAGAGGAAAAGAACAGAGAAGAGAACAGAGGAAGAAGAGAAGAGAAGAGAAGAGAAGAGAAGAGAAGAGAAGAGAAGAGGAAAAGAACAGGGAAGAGAAGAGAAGAGAAGAGAAGAGAAGAGAAGAGAAGAGAAGAGAACAGAAGAGAACAGAAGGGAAGAGGAAAAGAACAGGGAAGAGAAGAGAAGAGAAGAGAAGAGAAGAGAAGAGAAGAGAAGAGGAAAAGAACAGGGAAGAGAAGAGAAGAGAAGAGGAAAAGAACAGGGAAGAGAAGAGAAGAGGAAAAGAAGAGAAGAGAAGAGAAGAGAAGAGAAGAGAAGAGAAGAGGAAAAGAACAGAGAAGAGAAGAGAAGAGAGGAGAAGAGAAGAGGAAAAGAACAGAGAAGAGAAGAGAAGAGAAGAGAAGAGAAGAGGAAAAGAACAGAGAAGAGAAGAGAAGAGAAGAGAAGAGGAAAAGAACAGAGAAGAGAAGAGAAGAGAAGAGAAGAGAAGAGAAGAGAAGAGAAGAGAAGAGGAAAAGAACAGAGAAGAGAAGAGAAGAGAATTCTTATACATGTTTTTGGCAATGTTGAAATCTGAGTGAAGATTTGATGTATTTTACTTGATGTTTTACATCGAATTATAAAAATTTGAACGTGCATTTATTTCATTCTCTCTTTCTCTTTTCTTCTGGATTGTGTTTGCACACTTTGCATTAAATGTATGTGTGATGTGTTATGTGAGGTTCAAAGTTTCAAAGGTTACATTTGTACATGATGAACATACAGACCGAACTGTAGCCCAGAACCCGAGCACCGAACAGAACCGAACCGCAGGTGCTTTGACTCACCGTAGTGGGGGATGATGGCCCAGGCCATAGCGGAGGCGTAGATGCCACCTATCATCCAGAACATGCAGAGCCAGCTCAGGTGCTCACCGCGCTTCTCCCGCGCCAGGAACTCCGCAAAGTACGAAAACACGATGGGCACCGCCCCACCAATCCTGCAGAGGAGCATGGGAAAGCAGATTACACACAGTCCTGCAGAGGGCAGGAAAACGGAAGCAGGAGAAATGCAGGGTAAAATATGAGCACAGCCCGAGCCTGATATGTGTTCAAGAGATGACATCCAAACCCAGTGTGACCAGTTAGATCCCCTTGGATTTATTACAAATAGAGGAGGCTCTAAAATGTATACATCAAACAAAATTGGTGGATAAACATATGTATAAATTATGCATATTTAAAGCTGGCTGTGAACTCGCTAATGTTGATGCTAATGAGACACTGTATTCACTAACGGCAGCAAATTTCCTGAAGAAAATGCAGAATGATTGCGCAGCTGAAACTTGTTGCTAGGTGGTTGGTAAGTTGTTTCTAGGCAGTTGCTATGGCATGAGGGGTCTGAACTGAGTGGTTGTTAAAGAGTTACCATGTGGTTGCTGGTTGTTGTGAAAAATGAATGTGAATCTATGGGAGGAAAGAAGGATGAAAAAACGACACACAGAGGAGCACCGGTCAGTATGGAGTTTGAGGACCTGCCCTGAGTGAGGACGTGCAGTTTGGTGGCTGTCGGGCAAAGAAATATTTCGGTTTGTGTGGGGGGCAAAAACGAATGGGAGTCTAAGGGAAAACGAGGGATGAGAAAAAAAGACAAACAGATGAGTGCGGGTCAGAACAACATTGAATTTGTGTTCAAGGACCTGCCCTGAGATAGTATATGCGAAATGGAGTATTTCGGTCGAGCAGAAGTTCAGCAGATAGACATACAATTTTTTACCCCATTCATTCCTAATGAAAAAAGTTCGGAATTTAACGAAGATTTTATGAAAACCGTACGAATTTATAAGGTTGCTAGGGTGTTAATAAGTAGTTGCTGTGAAATTTCCGGTGGTTGCTGAGGTGTTGCTAGTAGGTTGCTAAGGTGTTGCTAGTAGATTGCTAAGGTGTTGCTAGGTGGTTGCTATGGTATCTTAGGTGGGTGATATGGTGCTGCTGGGCATTTGGTATGGTATCCCAGACCGTTGTTAAGGTGTTGCTAGGCGGTTGCTATGGTATCCCAAGTGCTTGCTAAGGTGTTGCTAGGCAGTTGCTATGGTATCTCAGCTGGTTGCTATGGTATTCCAGGTGGTTGTTAAGGTGTTGCTAGACAGTGGAGTCCAAAAGTCTGAGACTACATTGAAAATCTGTTTTTTTTTTAAATTAACAACAAAGTTTTAGAATTTTGTAAAAAAATTAAAATAAAGAAAAGTCATGAGAAGAAGTTCCAGTCACAGGGCTGGTTCCCTAACCCCTAGCCCATGACTGCCCCCAAATTAACACTCTCCCCGTCTGGGAATCGAAACATAACAGCTATGTTAGCTGCCTAGCTTGTTGCTAAATATACTCGCTTTCATGGAAGCATCTGGGTTTTTCCCACTTTTTAGCTTGAAAATGATGAAATTCTGAACTCTTCCCACTTCAGAGTCAAGTCAAACACAGTGTTGTTCCTTCCAGTGAAGCTGGTGTTCAGACTCTCAGGTGGATCTGATCTGCTCATCAGGCTTTTATAGTTATTGAGTCCATGCATCTTGAGTGCACGCTGTCCGCAACGCAAATGAGGGACACACTGTACCAAATCAAATACTAAACAATTCTGAATTTCACTGCTAAAATTTGTTAAAATGTTCAAATTCAAAAGACTCTACTTTTCACGCAAGTTGTTAAGCTAATAATGTAATTTCGCAGAGGAAAGAAGAAACAGGAGAAACAATTCAGAAATCACCGATCCTTCATTAATATAATATTGAGATCTGCTTTCTGCTTTATTTCTCTGAGACAATGAGAACCATTTTTTTTCCTCTGGGTTGTGATGTAATTTGTAATGTAATAAATCAGAAAATAATGCAAAATAGAAGCTTTTTCACTTTAACATCCAGAAAACTAATCCCATCCCAATTGTTTCTTATCCGGTTTTGACCAGAAGAGGATGGGCTCTCCTTTTGAGTCTTGGCTTAAGATTTCTCTCTTTTGCTCTTAGGGAGTTTTTCCTTGCCACTGTCTCCGTTGGCGACGCTCATGGGGGCTCGGACCTGGATTTTTCTGTAAAGCTGCTTTGTGACGACACCTTTTGTAAACACCACTATATAAATAACACTTCAATAGCACTTTAGACGGACACAATGGAAGAACTTGTCAGGCGTTAAATGCACAAAGCAAAGTTAGCAGGTCCTGTTTTTCCATCACTGCGCAGTTGGAGCTGGTAAGTGTCCTGAATTTAATCTCTGCTCAGCCACTACACACATAATTAATACATATAATCGACCCCCTGCTTCAGGTCTGTGTCTGAGGATGACCTCTGACCCCATGTGGAGCGTGGGGAGGTGGGGTAGTGGTGGTGGAGGGGCTGCAGATTGGAGAAGCAGCACTGCTGAAGATAAGCCCTCCACAAGGACAGAGCACAGGCCACTCATTCAATTAGCAATAAAACGCACTGCTGTACTGCACCTGCCTCTCTCTCTCTCCCCCTCTTTCTCTATCTCCCTCTCTCTATCTCTCTCTCCCTCCCTCCGTCTCTCTCTCTCCCTCCCTCTCCCTCTCTCACTGCTGCAATGTCAGAGCAGAACATACTGCTCACTGGGCTGTTTTAACCTGCTGGCACTGACCCATAACTTACGCACAGAGCGACATAAAAACAGAGGGTGTGTGTGTGTGTGTGTGTGTGTGTGTGTGTGTGTGGGTGGGGCCGGGGATGGGTAGAAACATAAAAAAAGAGAGAGAGAGAGAGAAATGCGGACAGAGGCGGGGAAAAGAAAAGAGAGAAAGAAAGCGAGAGATAGAAGACTGAGAAAAACAGCAAGGTACATTCTTAAAAAGATGGTTCTTGGTAAAGAAAATGGTTCTATATAGAACCATGAACACTCAAAGAACCCTTTGCATGATTAAAGGGTTCTTTGCGTCATGAAATGGTTCTTCATACTGATGGAGAATGTGCTGTAGATGGTTCTGCATAGAATCTTCTTGAAAATGGTTCTATATGGCACCAAAAAGGGTTCTGCCATTGTTACGATGTCAAGCTTGAAACAATAGGAGAACCCTTTTTGGTGCTATATAGAACCATTTTCTTTCCTAAGAAACCTTGAAAATGTAGAATGAGAAAGGATGAGAGAAAGCTGTATGCGTACAAGGTAGAGAGAGAGAGAAAGAAAGAGAAAAGGGGTAGAAGGGGAGAGAGAAGAGGGAGAAAGAGAGAGAGAAAGAAAGAAAGAAACAAAAAAGAGAAACAAAGAGCGAGTTAAAAAGAGAGTGAGAGAGAGAGAGAAAGGGGAGAGAAAGAGGGAGAGAGTGAGAGAGATAAAGAGAAAAGACAGATGGGTAGAGTGAGAGAGGTAGAGAGATAAAGGGGAGAGAAAGAGGGAGAGTGAAAGAGAGAGATAAAGGGGAGAGAAAGAGGGAGAGTGAGAGAGAGATAAAGGGGAGAGAAAGAGGGAGAGAATGAGAGAGAGAGATAAAGGGGAGAGAAAGAGGGACAGAGTGAGAGTGAGAGAGGCAAAGGGGTGAAAAAGAGTTAGAGAGTGAGAGAGAGATAAAGGGGAGAGTAAGAGGAGAGAAAGAGGGAGAGAGTGAGGGGAGAGAAGAAAGAAATAAATAGAGAGAGACAGAATGAGAGAGGATGAAAAAATGAGAGAGAAACAAGAAGGAAAGATATATGAGAGACCGGAAGATGAGAGAGGAAGAGAAAAGAGAGGGGGGAAGATATATGTGACAGATAGAAAGAGAGGAAGAGAGTGGAGAGGGAGAGAAAGAAAGGAAAAAGAGGCAGAGGGGGACAGAGACGAGGGAGAGAGAGAAAAAGTAAGAGAGAGAGAAACAAAAAAGAGAAACAAAAGGTGAGAGATAGAGAAAGAAAAAAGAGAAACAAAAGGTGAGTTAAAAAGAGAGTGAGACCGAGATAAAGGAGAGAGAAAGAAGGAGAGGGTAAGGGAAAAGAGGAGAAAAATAAAACAGAGAGAGATAGAGTGAGAGAGGATGAAAAAATGAGAGAGAAACAAGAAGGAGAGAGATATATGAGGAAAGGGTAGATGAGAGAGAAAGAGAAAAGAGAGAGTTATATGAGAGAGAGAGAGAAAGAGAGAGAAACAGAGTGGAGAGTAAGAGAGAGAAACAGAGCGGAGAGAACGAGAAAGAAAGAAAAAAGAAATAGAAAGTGAGACAGAAAGAGACAGAGGGAGAAAGAGAGATGGTGAAAATGAGGGAGAGAGACACTCACAGAGGAGTGTTCATCTCAGCATGGAGTCAGACTGAACGTGCTGGAAGGTGCGGGGGGTCCCTGTGTGTCTGTGTGTGTTTTACTCCGAGAGCAGAGACCCCCATAGAGAGACAGAGGCCCCTTAACTGCCACGGTTACAGCCTGAGGTCAAACTGAGGTCAAACTCCTGCCGCAGCCCAATCAAACGCTAAACTGCTCCCTGGACCGCTGTAAAGAACCCTCTAGCATTAAATGAGTAAAACGGCTCTGGATGAGGATAATTAAAGAGCCCTCGAGTCGTCCGAGGCCCTCGCTGCAGAGAGGACGATCAGCTACAACACCAAACTTCAAACACGGACAAATATGGAAAGATTAAAAATAAAGTTTCAAACACAAACAACATCAAATTTGATCAACATCAAATCTGTAAAATACACAGTTCTGAGATCATAAACATGCCAGTCGTTCACGCCAGCCACAAACATCCCCAGAGGAAAGAAATGCTCTAAATGAGATCTCCTCTCGATCTCAGGTTCTTCTCCTAGACACAGTCCAGTTTGAGATCAGAGTGAGACTTTAGTCATATTCTCCTGTTTCTGAAATTCGGCTCCTGAGAAATAAAACTCAGATTTTCTCACTTTGATCAAAATGTTGTCACACTTGTGGCTTAACTCTTTAGTGTCTCACTCGTCTCACCACAGTCTCAGCTGGATAAAATCTCCATAAGAAAAGTATGAGATCTCATCATCATCTGTCAGGGCAAAAGGAGAACCCGTGCTTTTCTCCTTCATCACCAGAACTTCTCACAGTGAAATGCTGATGTTAATCTGGAGAAACAATTCAGAAATCTGTGATTCTTCATTAATATAATAGTGAGATCTGCTTTATTTCTCTGAGACAATCTTAAGAAAGAAGTTTTTTCCTATGGGTAGTAGTGTTTAATGCAGAGAGCTTTTTCATGTATCAGATGTCAACTAGGCAGACACATTAAAGCTGCGTCCCAATTCAGAGGCTGCATCCTTCTGAGGCTGCATTTGAAGGCCGATTGCGTCACAGTGGTGCGACTAGGCTGTCCCATTTTGAACGCTCCTTCATATGCGTCCGAGAAACGTGTCCTTCTTTTCCAAGGCAAAGAAGGACCCAAAGGGTGGTCCTTCGCCAACCAACATATCCCGAGGTTCACTGCGTGCCGGGGAGGATTCAAGAACGTGGCGGCGTCAGCAGAGGAGCGAACGGCGGCTGAGGAGATACTTTAAATGTAAGTATTGGGTTTAAACTGAGTCGAATAGCCAACGATACAAATGTTAAAAAACCGATGTGGTCTGAAGCAAAACTTAGATTAACATTTCGTTTTGTTTTAGGAAGCAAAGAGCCGACAGAGAGAAGCATCTCCAGCTCTAATAAATGAAAAAATAAAAAAATAAAATCAAAGTTTAACAGAACTTGATGAGAACTTGAGAACTTTAACAGAACTTGATGAGCGGCGTTTCGTGAAGCAGCGGTGAGGGCGGGAACAGCGGTGCTGTCCACCGTAGAGCAGACCATCTCATTTCGGTTCAGCCTTTGCGCACTGAATTGGGACACAGCTATAGAATCATAAACAGTGATGATAATCAAATAGATATAGATAAATTATTCTACCACTCTGTTGTAGTGAGTGCTCTATTCTCTGCTGTTGTGTTCTAGGGCAGCAGCATTATCAGAAGTGCTCTGAACAAAATAAACAAACTTATTAGGAAGGCTGGCTCTGTTGTTGGAGTCAAGCTGGACTCTCTGGAGGTTGTGGCAGAACAGAGGACACTCAACAAGCTGTTAGCCGTCTTGGACAGCACCTCACAGCCCCTGCATGCTACACTGGATAAACAGAGAAGCACATTCAGGTCAGACTGTTACAGCTGCGCTGTGATAAAGAGGCCGTGTGAGATCTTTCTTACCCACTGATATACGGCTCTACAGCGAGTCTCCTTACTGCAGAGATGGTTCTGATCTCCTGCTGTCTGAACTGAGCTGAACCTCATCACTATATCACCCCTCCTGTTAATACACACTGTGCAATATATCATAACCGCTACTGTAACGACTCTCACTGCGCACTTTACTCTGTAATACTGCTGCAACTCCTAGTTATGTCTGTACTCATTATGCTTTTAGACTACCTCATACCACTTAGCACCTGCTCTCATGTAAACACAACAACTCTGTCTTATATGCCATGTAAATATGCAAATATAGATACTTATACTTTTATATACTTTAGCTTATGTCTATTTTTATTTCTATTTTTTTATTTTCTGCATGGTTTATGTAAGTTGTATGTGCAATTATATGCCTTGCTACTGAAACACTGCAGTTAAAAAAAAATGAAGTTCTATCCATCCATCCATCCATCCATCCATTCACCCACCCATCCATCCATCCATCTATCTATCTATCTATCTTTTTTTAATATAATATATTAATAATTTTTATTTTAATATAGTAATATATTTTTTTAATATATATTTTTAATATTTTACTCTGTGTTCCTTGGGACATTAGATAGATAGATAGATAGATAGATAGATAGATAGATCTATCGATAGATCTATATCTATCTATCTATCTATCTATCTATCTATCTATCTATCTATCTATCTAATGTCCCAAGGAACACAGAGTAAAATATTAAAAATGTTTGTATGATACTAAACTTGAAGTTTAACAAAACTTCAATGAAATATATAAGATATAAATAAGACAAAACACGGCTTAACAACTCCTCATCAAAACTTTCTGAGAACTGTGTGGGCGTGGCTAATGATCATCTTGACTCACAGCTCTCTGTCCAACACTCCTAGCTTGCTCTGCCCCTCTTACAGAACTTAAATCATTATCCAGCTTTTATGTGCTAACAGCTAACTGGACGAGAAAAGTCACGGACAAACAGATGAGCAGACGGACGGATGGACGAAACATTGCAGAAATGAAAGAACAGATGAATAAATAATGTTGGTGTTGGATAAACAACGAGCTTCTGGTTATGCAGTGTTAGCTTTAGCTCACTGAGTTTCTCTGACTCTAAAGTTGTTCTGTGTGGGTGGGGCAAGAGACATAGCCTGTGATTGGTCAGGGGAATGATTACAGAAGCTTTACCCAAGATTAGGACCACCTGGTTTACATAGAGAGGAGAGAAATATTATGAAATAAATGAAGTAATACAAAGCCAATACAAGAGTCAATACACTCGCAGAAAATAAAAGTACTAAACGTTCACTGGGGCAGTTCTCCTCTTGTCACTGGGGTGGAACCCTCAAGGGTCCATCTCAGTACCTTTAGTCAGGGAACATAACTGAACCATAATCCACTGAAATGATGTGTTCTAAGCTGTACTGACTCCACACACCCCGTCTCGTCTCCAGGCTTTTATTTTACTGATCTGTTTTAAAACATTCGGTTATGAAAAGGTACAAATACGAACTTTTCACCTGGACAAACTTATTTAAGGTGCAGAATCAGACCTTAAAACCACTGTTGTACCTTTGAGGGAACATTTACACTGTTTGTACCTTGATGAACGAAAAATGTACCTGCACAGAACCTTTATTTCTAACAGTGTAGACTAACTGATTATGAAAGAAGGCTAGAGGAAATACAACTACAAGGCAGGGGTTTCCAATAAAGTGGCCAGTAAGTGTGTAACCAGGTTCTCTATTACCTTTAACATTTTGACATTTTGGACAAGAACCCAAGGCGCATCTTCAGATAAATCATACTACAAACTTGAAAAAGATGGTTCTTCAAGGGTTCTTTAATAAAGGCAGTGGTTCTATTTATAATCATGAGTACTGTATATGCTTAAATGGTTCTTTGCATGGTGAAATGGTTCTTCAGACTGATGGAGAATGTGTTGTATATGGTTCTCCTACTGTTTCAATCATTTTTGGTGCTATATAGAACCGTTTTCAAATAGGTTCTATATACAACACTTTCTCCACCAAACTGAAGAACCATTGAAGCACGCACATGGATCTACATAGAACTCATGGCTCTAAATAGAACCATTCCCTTTACTTAAGAGCCCTTGAAGAGCCATCTTTTTTAAGTGTGTACCAGAGAGAGTTCTCCAAGCTGTTCTTAGCCCTGTAGGGAAGGTACTCACCCAAACCCCGAGAGCATCCTGCAGAAGAGGAACGTGCTGTAGCCCTGCACGAACGAGGACAGGAAGGCGAAGAAGCCGTTGACAGACATACACACCAGCAGGCACTGCCGTCTGCCCACTTTATCCGACAAACCGCCCCAGAAGAACGCTCCCACCATCATCCCCAGGTACACAATACTACCTGCAGATCACAGAGAGAGGGGTTATAAAAGGTTATGAATCATTTGTGTTGAGTCTGTTTTGGTTTTTAGGATTTGAAATGCACAGTGGATGAAATCAGACAGAAAGGAAGAAAAAAGAAAGGAAATTTCTATCCACTTCAGTTCAGTTCAGTACTGGAGTCATTACACTAACACATAAGTGTATAGCAGTAGTTCCCAAACCAGTCCACAGGGACTTTCACACGGTCCAGATTTTTGCTGCAACCTAACTTGCAACACACAGGGGGAGAGGGACCGTCTGGGGGTCTTTTCTGGGGTCCCTGAGGACTGGTTTAAAACACTGGCATACACTAAATTGAAGAGCTTGCTGGTATCATGGTTATATAACAGGTACACTCTCAGAAATAAAGGTACGAAACTGTCACTGGGGCAGTCCCCCTCTCATCACTGGGGTGGAACCCTCAAGGGTCCATCTCAGTACCTTTAGTCAGGGAACATAACTGAACCATAATCCACTGAAATGATATGTTCTAAGCTGTACTGACTCCACACACCCCGTCTCGTCTCCAGGCTTTTATTTTACTGTTCTGTTTAAAACATTCAGTTATGAAAAGGTACAAATACGAACTTTTCACCTGGAAAAACTTATTTAAGGTTCACAATTGGACCTGAACATCCAAATGACATGTTACGTTTTTCATGGCCTCAATATATTAATTAGTGTTAACTCAAGTTAGGTTTCGTCTAACCTACTAATTAATATATTTAGGCCACAAATTAATATGCACGTTTTTCATGGCCGTGTGGCCTCGAATTTATTAATTTGTGGCCACACAAAACTTAATTCGGTGCCTTAATATATTAATTCATGCTCATGACTGATTAAAAAATAATCTTATTAAAAAAATATTAATATGTTAAGGCCACGAGTTAAGTTTCTCATGGCCACGTGGCCTCGATATATTAATTTGTGATCACAAGAAACTTAACTCATGGCCTTAATATAATAATTCATGCTCTTGACTTACTTAAAAAATAATCTCCATGTCACCTTAGGGGCTCCGTAGTATTCATAACCATTTATTGTAATAGCTTTCTGTGAGGGAGCTTTTCGAGGCATTAAACTACTCAGGCGTCTGGTTCCCATCACCACCACTGTGAACGGAGCATTTCACATCAGTCCATGTAAAACATTTTGGAATTCTTTAATGCATGTGAAAATCTAGTCTTATTTTTGCCTCTAACATGGCTGTACAGAGTGAATTCTGGTTGTTTTCATGGAAAAACTTAACAAATAATTTTGCCCAGATTATGCGGGCACTATAAGCATATGTTGCAGGCACAAACATGCCTACGTACACATACATGCATGAAACCGACTGCTGTAATTGAAAACTACAGGTCTGATTGAACGAGTGCTTCTTTAAGACACGTTCCTTATGCTCAGCAAAGCCACAGACGGAGAGAGAGAGCTAGAACATGAAAAACAGAGCCAGGCAGATCCATTTCCCTCTGATACTGTAGCTGTAACAGCCTGGAGGCCCAGCTGGCCCAGAATATACATACATACACAAACACTGGCATAAAATGCTGACTACAAAGACTAAAGCTGTGATAAAACAGCTCACACAGCAAAGCAGAGGAGGCTCGTCTCTTCTTCTCTTACTCTTGACAGTTTACACTCTTGTGTCTCCATACAGTCATCCACCCTGTCCTGCTTTCTCTGGGGTCTGCACTTTCTAAAGTACTCTAGAACTGTAGTCTCGTGGGGACAGTCGTGATCTCGTAACAAGAACATCTGGGAACAACCAAGAGAAATGTTGGGCTAAATGTGGGTGGGAATGTAGACTATTCAGGGTGGGAAATTTGGGATAGGTTTTAGAGGGTTAGCCAAAAACACAGCACACAACGGGCATGGTTGATGGTCGTAGGGTGACTGGTGTGTGCAGCAGTGCCTAGCCAAGCAGCTAAGCCTGCAGATATCAAGCTTACTTAGCGACCATAAACAGTACAAGCAGACAAGCATACCATCTAATGCCTACTGACTGCTTATCATACAGTCTCTTTATTATGTGTTTCTTAATAGTCAGTGGGGAAGATACACTTTATGGTCAAAAGTATGTGGACACTTAACCATCACACCTATATGAGCTTGTTGTATGAGCTTTTAATACACCTGTTAGCAATGGATGTGGCTGAAACACCTGAAGTCAGTAATTAGGAGTGTCCACATACTTTTGGTCATACAGTGTATGTTTAAAGTGTCATGCTAAGACTTCGCTAAAATTAGCATTAAGACCTTCAGTGCTGCTATTGGGAGCAAACGTGCAGGTCTACATCACCTGCTGGTCGCACTCAGGACAGTTTGAATCACCGTACAGCGAGGATGAGCTGACCAATCGGAGCACTCTGGGCTCATCAGGAGGTGGAGCTTAATGACACAGGAGCTCTAACAGAGCGTTTTAGACAGAGGGTGAATAGAGATGTACAGTATGAGAAAAATCATGTGTTTTTGGAACACTGAAGCATGTAAATCTATACTGGTAGACCCCAAAAATAAAGTACTGTCCCTGAAATATAAATAAACATAGACCACAGTCATGTTATCAGTTTCAACAATTGTAGAATCAAGTTAACACGAGTTGGCCTGACACCCTTAAACTGGCTTCACAGTAACAAACAGGCAGATCTTGTTCGCAGTGCTTATCGGCTGTTTTGGACGCAGTGTTGACCAGTTTGTTACGTCTATATTCCTCCTGTTTTCCTCTGATCCGCTTGAGTTAGTGTAAAGGACAAAGCGGTGATCAGTCACTCTGCTCTGACAATACACACTCAATAAACCCACTCGAGTCTCCTCGGCCAAGATATGCTAATAAAAATGCTAATTTGTTCTGAGGGCGAGAGGAGCGATCGTTTGCCGTCCACTTCCCCCACTGTGAGGGAACAGACACTCATCCCTCTCCCTCTCTCTCTCTCTCTCTCTCTTATTGTGCCCCAAAAGTATTTCCTTTTCTCTTGATATTTCTATGGATGGGAAGTTTGATTAATTTTCCTGAACCGGATCATTCAAACAGTTCGTTTTAATGAATCAAACGTTCAGTTTGTCAATAACTCATTGTGGTCCGGCGGGCAGGTGCTGTGGACCAGACAAACTGACTAGTATATCTCTATGAACACTTGGCCTACATGACAATGTTAATCAAAGCCTCTGTATAAAACTACACATAGAACCAAGAAGTTTACGGCATCAACATAAAACAAAAACAGCCGTCAAAACGCTTAAAACCCAGGCTTATTACATACCAAGGCTTAATATTCAGTAACTACGCAGACTTTAATGCAAACTGGTTGAGCTATTCTTTGGTTATTGAAGGGTGTAATAAAACTTTGGGCCTGCTGGTGGGCCCTGACCATGTAAGGGGAGAAAGGGGAATTTCAAAAATTTGGCACAATTAAACATAAACAAAATCATTGTGGTTTGGTGTGAAATGCTCTGTTCACATACTGTATGTTTGAATCACCTATCGTGTACGAACAAAGCCTGTGATTTATATACTCGCACTGTACGAAAACACTCAGTCCGAATGACATGACGTGACATTGGTGTTTCCACTGCACGTCAAACGCAGCCCCCACAGTCAGCTGCGCCTCCGAGTCCCGAGCAAAAACACTGGCTGAATCTCAGATGCTCCCTGCTCCCTACATAGTGCACCACATGTTTAAATAGTTGCTCCTGCACCCATAAAGTGCATCACATGTCTAATAAATAGCCTTCTGAGATTCAGCCATGTGTGCACAGTTCCATACAGGACAAACTGCACTATTTTGGTGTAGCAGTCAGAAATTAGTGCACTACATAGGAAGTAGGGGCTGTTTGAGATTCAGCCATTGACAAACCGCTACAGCAGCTTTGCTAACTTGAGCCACACTGTGCACTGTAGCTGAAGAGCAGGCAGTCTGCAGACAGACAGCTCTACACAGACAAAAAACACGTATTTATTTATAACACAATTCAACTCAGTCAAACGGAGCAAAGTCATCATATACGGTCGCTGGTGCCGCAAATGTGGGCTTTTTTGTCTCCGTGTTGGAGTGGAGGCTGTGGTTGTGTGAGGTTTTGGGTGCGACTTCGAGAAATCGGTTTGTGAGGCTGCTCAGACTGTGAGACAAGCGACAGGTCAGAAATCCATCTAATTGTCCGACTGCTCAATCAAAGCTCTTTTGGGCAGTTAATCGGGCATCGTTTCCCCTCTCACAGTGCACAGCAAATGATGGCCGACGAAGCTGAAATTTGGCCCGATCATGAAATCCAGTCGGCTCCGACCAAATGGGGCTTAAAAACGGGCTAAAATCACACAGTGTACACCTGGCTTTAGCGGCCACATGCACAAAAAACATAGCAGAAAGCTACAGGCTGCAGAGAGAAAACAGACGCAAATTCAAAGAGGTAATTCCTCACATGTGTTATGAGTTTAGGAGGCTAAATTGTAAAAAAATAATATTCTATTTATATTACAATGTTTCAGCCTTTAATGTGGATGTAAACGTTGCAGAGATGATACGGAAAAGTTCAAATCAGGTGCACTTTTGAATCGGTTCGATTGATTCACTGAAAAGAGCTGGTTCAAAAGAGCGTTACGTTCACGAATCGGACAACCCTACACTCTCTCTCTCTCTGATGCTGGCTGATATGCAGAAAGCAGTCCGTGTTATCTGGCTGCGCAGGCTTGATGGTGAAGGCAGGTGATCCATTACAGGCTGACAGGCGCTGAGACACCCAGCACCACCACTTCAGCAAAACCATCCATCAGAGAGACGCTGCGCACTAAGGCCTGAGATAATCTACTGTACCCAGACTCCATTTACTCAGTCCTACACAGCATTCGTTCAGCTGACTTCGCTCTAATGCACTCCCAGGAGCGAGTGAGCCCCACCTGCTGTAGGCCTAACAGACTCAGCAGCACTAATAGCTGTTTAACCCCAGATGAAATCAACATGTGATATTCAGCTTGGCAGGTTA